AACTCTGTGAGCATTACAACTAACGTTTTTTTTCCCCTCAGGAGTGACCACAAAAGTTGAAATACATGTAGACATGCACCTCATATTACACAGATTATACAATCCAGAAAAGCTGTGAGCAAATTAAAGTTTGAGTCAAACTTTAAAGGTGAGTCATGTCATTCCCTAGACATCCTTGAGTCCTGGATAATTATATGAAGTCTGTGACTTTCTTTTTGCAATGCAAAGAAAACTAATAATAAACTCCTGACTTATTTTTATAAATATGGGTTTCTTAAGCATAAATTTCTTAGACTTTCTACCTATTTTTCCAGCTCACTTTCCTCTTCCATTTCCTCTACTGGTCTCTTAAGTGCAGGGATTCTCAATACTCTGACTTATTTCTTCTCTCATCTATACATCTTCTCAACGCATGTTCCTGATTGTCCTTTGCAGAGTCAGATACCAGCTAGCTATTTCTGCTTGGATCTCTACAGTTACCTCTAGTTTAACACTTTCAAACCCTTGGTTGGTATCTTTCCTCTCCATTTCTGTAAATAGCACTCCAACTGCCAGTTGCAAAATGTCTTATATATGATTGATAAGATTACTATTAACCAGATTCTACCCTTGAGCTACTCATGACTCAGTTAACATCTCTTGCTCACATCAACCTCGAGCAGTGTCTTGTGGATAGGTAGGAGTGATGAATAGGAGATGATGAAGACAGGAGGATGGGAGCATAGAATTAGCTTGGTACCAACTCTTCTAACACCCTTGGAAGAGTTAAGTCAACGGGCATGGCAGTAAGATCCAGGTACATGTTCTATGGGAGTAGAAAGCATCACCACCCTCTTATTATCTATAGCTACATCAGAGAAATCCTGATCCAAAGCAACTTTCTCAAACAAGGATTATGCCAAATCAATGCAGACTCATGCTTGGAAGACTTTTAGGGAGTGACACATGTAGAGTGGGAAAATGTAAGAAATCTTGAGCCGTCAGTTCTTAAATGTCTCATTGTTCTGTTGCCAAGTGCTCCACATCAATGTTGCAAATGCCCTCCTGGCCCCATACCATGTTTGGGAGCAGCAGGGAGGCATAGAGAGGCAGAAATGAGAAACAGGAGAAAAATCCCATGTGTGACTGAGTTTTTAAATTGACTTGATAGAGAACTCACTGAGCCCGAGTTTGTCTATGTGTAAGTAGGTTAAGCTTCTACAGCAGACAGGAATACCCAAAGTAACATGAGAGATGAAGTATTGCTTGATTGTTCATGTGTGCCTGTGATCTGTGAAATGTGGAGCTACCATGCACATAAACAAATGTGGTGGGTGCCTTTAGACTTTCCGTTCTTGAAGTAGGAATGGAGAAGTTGGTTCTGCTGTTGACATAAGTGACTTTATTTCATTTCTTCTCGTGGAATAGGGCAATGGAGTCTACTAGTTTTGAAAGTAGAATTTAATAAGACAATTTTTGCTTGCAGAGCAATAACATACTGAGGTGATACCATGGGTCCATAACGAACTCACTGTGCAACTTTAAGTGATCTTCAGTCCCTGCAGTAACCGTACAGTTACATTAACTTCACATGTGCCAAGGACAAATTTTCTATCTTCCTGTCTTTTAATAATGAAAAGACAGCACATGCCGGTGTGATGGTTAATGTCACTGTCAGCTTAACTGGATTTAGAATCACTCAGAGACATCTCCAGAGAGGTTTAGTGGAGAAGGGAACACCCAACCTGAATGCGATGTCACCATCTCATTGGTGGAGGGCAAGACTGACCCAAAAGAGAAAAAGGAGAAACCTATCAGGACACCAGCATTCACCTCATTCCATCTCCTGACTGTGGACAGAATGTGGCCTCTCCCACCATGACAGACTGTACCCTCAGGCTGTTTGTCAAAGGTATCTCATTTCAGCAACATAAAAAGTAACAGATGCTTTGCCAGAAAGGTACACATCCTCTGGAATAATCCTTTAGCTCCTTCAAAGGAGAGTCTTTGAAATTACATGTTTTTTTTTTTTTAAATAAGAAAAGCAAAATATTTGCCCCTTACCTTCACACCAAGGATTGAAGAGAATATATGTGTCTGTTTCTGGGTCTCTGCGGGTGCGGAGGATCCCATAGGGGGTCCAGACAGCAACATACATGCGGAATTTCCCTACAATGCACTCAGGGGAAGACTGGATGGACAGTCGGACAGACCTGTCTTCATTCATTATAACCTTAGCCCCCCACTTTCCACTTTGCAGCTCTGACACTACCGGCACTGGGATATAGGTGCCCTTGTTCTCCTGAGGGTAGCGACCTGCAAGGAAAGAGAAGAAATGGGGGTAAGAGGATTTCACAGAGCATTTCTGTTCTCTATCATCTCGTGAGTGAAGGAGGAAAGTGCTCCACTAGGCTAGAGTTTTTTGTATTATTTTTATTTTACATGTATGGGTGTATTGCCTGCATGTATATAAGTGCACCTGTGTTGTACAATGCCTGCAGAGGTCAGGAGAGGACATAGGATTCCCTGGAACTGCAGTTATGGACAGTTGTTAGCTACCATGTGGGTGCTGGGATTTGAACCCAGGTCCTCTGCAAGAGAAGCTGGTGCTCTTAACTGCTGAGCCATCTCTCCAACCCTGTGGCTTGAATTTTTTAAAAGTAGCTATGTTCACGTCCGCTGCCAATAACCATGACAGCAGTTGATTTTCCTAATTTCTTAAGGTTTGGGTTTGCCAAGACTACAATTTTTTTTTTTAAAGAAAACACGTCTTGGGGAGATTTTTATTGGTTGATACCCGAAGCTGTTCTCTATTGCTGATGAGACAATACCACAGACTATGTAGCTTACAAAGGAAAGAGGTTTATTTGGGGTCACACTTCCTGTCCATGGCTAAAGGGCCACATCTGGCAATGGCCTCTTGCTAAAGAATCCCAGGTCAGCTCAGAGCAACACATGGTGAGAAGTGAAGTGTGTGTCCTGGTCTCCTTTTCTCTTTGTCTGAGTCACCAGTCTTGATCTTGAGGATCCCACTTGATGATCCATCTAATCCTGATTACTCCTGGAGGCCCCATCAAAACACAGTCAGATGAAGTTTCAATCCTTATAACGCCTCATAATGGGATTAAATCTGAACCTTTATTTGGGAGCAGGCAAGCTTTATGCATTGGTTAGGCAATAAATTCAAATGAGATGTAGAAACATCAATTTGACGTTAAATCTTCGCTTTATTATTCTCTGAAATTCTACTCTCAAAAAGTTGCAATCATTTTTAATAAAAAACTTTAAAAACGAAAGTAGTATACAACATTGTTTTTAGAATCATAGGCAAAGATTTTTTGTTTATTCTAAATTCAATTTATGATATCACCTGGAATAGAATTATACTTACAAACTGTCCCTATGTAGCCATTTTTATATTTAAAAAACCTAAGCATGTGCTCGCTGCTAGTCCCATTAATGCCTTAGATTTATGTCACAGGGTAAAGAGCTGAAGTTCCCTAGGGCTGGACAAATGGCTCAGCGGTTAAGAACACTGGTTGTTCTTGCAGAAGACCTGGGTTCAAATCCCAGCACCCACATGCCAGTTAACGACGGTCTGTAACTCCAGTCCTGGGGGATCTGACAGCCTCTTCTGACCTCTGTGGGCATTGCATGACACGGGTGCACTTACCTACATGCAGGCAATATACAAATACACATAAAATAAAAATAGTAAATAATTATTTTTTTAAAGTGAAAAAAAACAAGAGTTGACGTTGCCCTGGGAAGTGACCTGAGTTTGAATTTGGGCTCTGCTATTTCTTACCCTTGTAGCCTCTGAACTTTACAAATCCATATTCTCTTGTCTTTATCTTAATCTATAAACATGGATAAGAATACTGTCTAGTTCACAGGGGGACAAAATAAAATAACACATGCATGATGCTAATTTTCAAGAGTACTGAGGATTGAACCCAGGCTTTGTGCATGGTAGGCATCCATCCCCAGTCCTTTGTTTTTGACAGGGTTCCCTCAAGTTTCCCAGGCTGGCTTTGAACTTGCTTAATAACCCAGGAAGGCCTTGAACTTGCATGCCTCCTGCCTCTGTCTCCTGAGTAGGATTATAGGCCTGTTCCACCAGACCCAGCTCCATGTAAAAACCCTGGTACACAATTTCTCATATATAACAAATATCTGAAAATTGTTAGCTATTATTTGAACTGAAGATTAAATATGAGGTCATTTCATAACATTTCCAGGCTCATCATAGTTCATGTGTAAGCTATCTCAAAGTATAGGCCATTTTCCCTTATTGCTCATATTTTGGGTCAAATTCTTATCACATGGCTTTTAACCTCGCCTAACATTCTTTAACAATTTGGCTTATAATTTAACTTACAGTATAATTTGGTAAAAGATCAAATTCATAACTGTTTTTGGTAATTTTTTATTGATTACAGAATTTCATACAAGGCATTTTGGTCACATTCCAATGCCTTCACCCCTCTCCAGCTCTTCCTCACTACTCCCCTGGATTTCATGTCCTCCATTATTATCTCTCTCCTTTCCTTCCTTCCTTCCATCCTTTCTTTCTTCCTTCCTTCTTTCTCTCTTTATTTATTGATTGTTTTGTGTGTTTTAAAGACTTAGCTCCAATCTGTGCCTCCCAAGTGCTCCTGGGTGTGGGTACACACCCTGAAGCCTAGTCAACCTTCAAGGCATCACACCAGTAAGGAAAACTGACTCTCCCACTTGGCACCCATTAGTAACCAATAGATTCTCAGCTAGGGCTGGAGCTTTATGCCTACTAGCCCCACCCATGCTGGGCCCTTGTCTTGCTTCCACGTCTTGTGCATAGTTCTTTTAAACTGGAACAAACTATCTTTTTCTTGACTCGAAAGATACACATCTGCCAAGTTTGCAAATTTCAGGCATAAACAAAAAAAAATCTTCCAGAGCAAAGCTTATTCTATTCTATGGTTTTCTCTTTATTTCTAATAAATATTTTTATTAATCCTTTGAGAATTTCATACAATGTATTTTGATGATATTCATGCCCAAATCCTCCCCTTAGCGCCGCCCATGTCCACTTCTACCTCCCTAGGGCCCCAACTTCTTGTTATATAAACAATGCAGAACATTTCACAAACAAAGTTAGATCTTAGCTTCTCTAGCTATTCAGGTCTTAACAAAACCCTGGTAGGCATATAGTCAGCATTCAAAAGGAGGTGGTTTTATAAGTTACTTCTGTATAATTCTATAAGGTTGCTTAATTTTAATGAAAATAATGATTTATACAGTGCCAACCAGGGAGAAAGATCAGGACCCTGGTGCTTTTCTGTGTGTCAGTAGTATCCATTAATCATAGTTCAGAACAAGTATCACATATACTCATCATAAATCCAATAAAGACTTGCATGTGGTTCTCTGCCAAGAAACCACAATTTGAGCACTACAAATTTTTGTCTAAATAATGCTCTTGGGAACACATGGGCTCAGCCTCCAAGGAGTCCCTACATCAATCTATCTTCAAGAGCATGTTTATTTCAAGCTACCTATGTCTGCCCTTTTTCTGCCCAAACTTCCCTTCCCTTCCCTTCTCCTGTCTGTGCATGCTCAGACTTTGGGATGAAATTGCTCTTTTCTCCAGAGACCCTGCTTCTCTCTAGAGTTCCCACCGCAGGGGGAGTGTAGACATCAAAGGCAATCTCATGGGATATTACTTTAGTTCTTCAAACAGCAGATGCCACCAAACACTGATATAGATTTCAAACGTATGGCATTAAAAAAAGACTGGGGCTGGAGAGATGGATCAGTGGTTAAGAGCACTGACTGCTTGTGATGGCTAATCCTGGGTGTCAACTTGATTGGATCTGAGATTAACTGAAATGAAAGAGATATTCTTGATTGGATCATCTAAAGCCAGAAGACACACCCTAAATGTGGGCGTTACCTTCTGATGGCAGCTGGTATAAAAGACCAAGGCAGAGGAGAACGTGGGGCTTTTGGCAGCTTGCCTTCTCTCTCGCTGGTGAGTTCGTCTTGCTGCTGTAGACTGAAGACTAGCTGATATTTTGGAATTTGTCAGACCTTCAGCACCGGATTGGGACTGCTGAGACATCCAGCCTTGTGGACTGAGCGACTACAGATTCTCAGCCTCTCCAGTGTGGTGCAGCCATTGTTGGACTACTCAGACTCTATCCTGTGAGCTAAGCTGATAAATCTCTATACATGTATATTCATTCTACTGGTTCTGTTTCTTTGGAGAACCCTGACTAATACACTGCTCTTGCAGAGGACCTGGGTTCGATTCCCAGCACCCTCATGGCAGCTAACAACCATTTACAACTCTAGTTCCAGGTGAATCCAATGCCCTCTTCCGACCTCCATGGGCATTTCAAGGCATGGGTGCACTTAACATATATATAGGAAATACACTCATACACATAAAAATAAAAATAATAAATAGAATACAATAAATTTTAAAAGACTGTGAAAACTATCGACCAAACTTCCAGGCAGAATGTGCCCACTTGTGCAATAGTGGTACTACTATTATGAAGGTAAACTGTTTTCTGACTGAATCTGAGGTCTGCTGCATGGGAGGGAACACATGCGTGTTACTGTAAACTTAGTGGAAGACTCATAGTGAAGGAAATCATAGGTCCTCAGCAAGAACCAAATCTTAGTGTTTAGCTAAAATGACATGGTGTCAAGCTGCCATATATTTATATTTTTTACCTATAGATGAATGTTACTCTTAGCCTTAATCAGAGAAGTCTCTCTTTCCAATGAACAGTGGTCAATGCAGATTCATAGCTATACAACATGCTGAGAATGGATGCTCAGCCCCAAGTAAGTCATTTGTACCATTGTTTCCAAGGCTCAGGGAACATTGTGGAAGAGGGGACAGAAAGAATGTGAGGGCCCGAAAATGGGAGAAAATGCTTTGAAACATTTTCTGGGCAAAGCACAGCCACTGCAATCATGAACCCATAGCAGTTGTAGATGCTGCTCTGGGTCTGCACAAGAACAGGCCCTTCAGCAATTAGCCATGGATACAGGAGGAGCACAGCAGAGCCCACCACTCACTGCTGGAGACTCTCTCACTGCTGGAGTTCTCACTACTGACGGATTCATGGGGAGGGCAAATCATTGCCTTCAGTTGTCTTTTGACTGGTGACTCTACCAGGCTCCAAAGGATAGTTTCAATTTGATGGTCACACAGATGGCCCTTGTTAAACTAAGTGGATCACAAAACCAAACTAAAAGTCATGAGTCTTAGAAAGAGGCAGTTAGGGATAAGGGGAGATAGATAGGAATTGAAAAGAGGT